GTGCTTCCCACAGACTGCAACCAGCTGCAAGAACTGCCAGGAAAAATTATCCAGCTGGAGAGCCTGAACTGGACTCTGCAGTGGGAAACCAGTGTAAAAAACAGGACAATGGGTTCCCAACAGAACCTATGGCTGCATGAACACTAATTGCTTATCATTTCACAGATTGCTTGCTTTTATTTTAGCCGGAATTTGTCCTTGCAATGAACGGAAAAGGGATCTATGAACCGTGGTCCATGGGACTGATGTTATTTAAGGTCTGGGCTTAGAGGCTTCAACCTTTAAGTTTAGAGGTTCTGTGTGATCAGACTGACTTCTTCCAGTGCAAGTCCCACAGGATTTTTTACAATCTTCTCACCAGCTATGGGTGAAAAAAAGCACTTTCTTATTCAATGTAGAAGAACCAAAGCCCTAGGTGAGCCACGTAATTTGAAGATGTTTTTAGACCAGATTTGAAGAACAGCTGTTGGCAATAAATGCAGTTGTTTTGAGGGGAAATAAGTTCCTAGTGCTTCTCTCTGACACCCAAGATGTATCTTATGTTTTCAACCCTCAACTAACTGCACAGTACTCCAGCACTTCAAGCCATGGAGAAAGCCAGTGGTTTCCTCTTTCCTTTGACTGACATCTGGAGTCCTTCTGTATGCTTCAGCCCAATGGTTGTTCATCCAAGAGCCCTGTTAACTTGTCCCAGAGAAACCTCTCTGCTCTTTTGTGCCAGCAGCAGTATTCAGAGGTTTTAATGTGTGAAAATAAGGTGTGTTGGTATTCTTCTGAATGAAGCTGATTTAAATATTGTAGTTAAATCTACAGGGATTTTCTAATGATTATTCAGCAGTTCTTCATAAAAAGCCTACAAAAAACCTCTAGAGGAGAGCCTGCCTGCTGTGCAAGTCATGCAGAAGGCAGGTACATCTAGAGCACGTCGGGTCCCATCACTACCCACGCACCAAACCATTTTCCCGGTTAGTCATCCTTTCCTACCCTCCTTCTCAATGCAAACATTGCTTTCCTCGCACTCACGAAACTCATCCCTGGTGCTGGCCTTACGTAAGTGATTTCGACATGGAGAGCTGTGCCACGAACGCAGTGGACACGTAATGCTCAGCCTCTGGTAGCCACCCTGCACATCAGCACGGCCTCCTGGGTGACTCCTGGGGACTTTCACACAGGCTTTTGTCCCTTACAGCAACCCAGGGCTCTTACACACCCCTCGGGGGTTTCAGCTTCTTCCTGGATTGTCCTCATCACCTGCAACTCTGCCAGTCCCATAAGCACAGCACCCACTGAACATATTGCCCCCTCGCCCTCACACAAAACCAGCATTCCGTGTATCCATGTGCCTATCACCAAGGTCTGTATGGATTTACCTGTGCCCTTGCACTGAACTCCCAATCTGCTCTCCTGGTGCACTGTATGCACCCAGGGCCCCTCGCACACTTTGCCTCCCTCACAGTAAGAGGCAGATAACTACAGATGGCTTAAGCCATCATAAACTTTTTCTCACTCCTCATCACTCTTCCTTCCCCAATTTCCTTCTCCCAGGCCCCACACCCAGGTCTGCAATCCTCACCTGTACTTCCCTCATTTCCTTCGAGCATGCTGTGTGCACAAATCTCTCCTATCAGACACAACTTTTCCCTCCCTTCACCTTCCCTTGCACAGCCTTGCAGGCAGGCACAGCCTGACAGGTCCCTTCCTTGCTCCCACTCCACTGTGTGCCAGCCCACGCTGAGCTCCTCACCCCTTGTAACAGGAACTGTCATTCCCATCCATTTCCACCTCATGCCCTACAGCTCCCAACTCCACTCGCCTCCCCACACACTTCACACTTTGCTTTTGACCTTAGGACAGCCATGTGGCTTATATGGTCCTCCAGGTAGTTTTTCCTCCCATGCCTTCTCCTCCCACCCCTTTATATCTTTAGTCATTTCTCCACCAGCACATTTGTTCCATTCCCTCTTGCTGTTTCACCCAGCCAGTACCTACCACAGAGATATAAACGCATTGGTTACGTCTGATGCAACAGAAAATCGCTCCTTTTTGTTTGTGTACGCTCTCCTCCTCCCACAGTCTTCCCATTATTCCTTACTTGCTGCTCCTTGCCCCAGCTGCTTCCCCTGTAACTTATTGCCTGTTCTGTCCCTGTGCTGCTCCTACTCCCCAGCAAAGAGGCATCCCCCGTTCTGCTGAGCAAACCACTGCACCTTTGTACCACTCCCTCTCTTTGCCTACTAAGAACACACCCCCAATTTTCCCTTTTTCTGCTCTCTCACCCTGTATCTCCTCTAAACCACCTCTTTCCTAGGCATCACACAAAACATAGGTCTCCATTTCATCCTCATTCATGCCTCCAACATTCCTTAATTTTTCCTCGTTCTCATGCGTCTCAACACCTGCCATGACTTTATGTCTTCATCGTGGTTCATCCTGCCCCTGTGATTTCCACTCTCTTGAATTTCCTCACACCACTTCCCCGTGGCTTTTTCCCCAGTTCTGTCTCTCCCTTGCAGGCAGGCAGCACACTCCAGCAGGCTTCCAGCCTCCTGTGAAATATCTCTAATCAGTTACCCCTTCACATGTTTACAGGACCCTTTTTCCCTCGCCACACCCTATCTCCATCCAGCTCATTTTTCCCTCTGTGTTCCTGTTCTCGGCAGATGTTTTCATCACCATGAAAGCCTTGCCTTTCATACTCTGAGACCTTCCTGGTAAATACATCCCTGTATCTATTTCTTGACAGAATCAAAGGTGTCTCCTTTTGACACCCCCCATAAGCGTCATGTAGCTGATTATTTTCCATACCTTTCTCCAAATAGCTAATAGTTCACATTTTAACTCCTCCTCCAAACATCCTTTGTGCTTTCACCTTTCTCCCTCCACTCCCACTCCATACCCAACCTCCCCCTTGCAGACCCTACCATCCTTGTATGTCCCTTTCATATCCTCACCCAGCCTCCAGCCTGTACCTTTGCCCATCTCTCTCTCTCTTGTTACTTCCTCTTGCAAGCTCCTAAACTTTCTGCCACCCACAAGGATCCTCTTTTTCCAGTCGATGTGCAGCAGCTTCCCTTTCAAGCTGACCACCTTTGCATGTCTCACCTGCCATTATTACCCCAGTGCACAACAATGAACATGTAGCACTTTATTTCTGCTGTACGACACCTTCCCTCCAGTTTTTATCTACCTTTATATGCACCATTTAATTTTTTGTTCCCTGAAGAGAAAAACACTCCAACCCACAGCAGAACAATACAAACAAAACCCCTTAAACCTACGTGTTTTGCATACCTCAACATGTAGCACCCTTCTACACAAAGCACTCCCCTCCTGGCTCTTCTGGTACCTCCTCTTCTCCCCATGTTTTGGCTCCACCACCTGCAATCATGCCTGGATTTTGTCCCCCCACCGTGCTCACACACAGAGCCCCTGGTATTTACACATGTATCTCAGACCAGTCTTTTTACTACCAGCAGCTGGGACCATGCTGAACTCTTCCATTCTCTGCTGCTATTGTCTGGCAAGGCTTTTTTTTTTTTTTTCTTTTTTATTACTATTAGATTTCTCTTTTCCTTGCATCTCATTTATAGGTGCTTCTTGTGCCACTTCTGCATTTGCAAGCTTGCATATATCAGGTATTTCTGCGCCTGAGAATGCCTCTCCTACTTGTCTGGATATTTTCCTGAAGGCACAATGCAAAGGCAAAACTTTACATACCATTTGCACTCCTCATGCAACAAATCACACGAGCCTGAGAGCAAAGAGTGTTTTCTGAAAGGTTGTAGCTCACAACAATCCTCTGGACCATATAACACACATCCCTGTCTATTTAAAAAGGGGGGAGGGGGAGAGGCAACCCCCCTCTCACACACACACACACACACGCACACACACACACACACACACACAGTCATCTCTAAATAACTGGTTTTGCAATATAGGAACCAGAGAATGTGCACATAGCAGCCCTATTCAATCCAAAATATCCATCTCTCCAAATACTGCATATTTATAGTTCGAGAGATAGGACCCACACAGAGCTTTCCCGTTTATTTTAATGAAGGATTAAGAACTGATCAGAAAACTATCTAAACCATTCAAGGACTTTTTCCCCTCTTGGCTAAGAGCAGTTTGGTGTCTCCATAAGGACTGGCCAGTAACTGACGCTTTAAGCTGCATTTCAGCTGTTTAGATGAGAAACAGCTTTCTATTTTGCTCTCTAGATGTGCATCTCTGTTGATTAGTTGTGTGCCGCATTCCTAGAAGGCACTCACCAAACGCTGGGAGCTGCAACGTAAGACTAGTTTCCCTGCCATTCCAGCACAGAGCGAGTGGATCTTTTTCACCTAGACACAGATGTGCAGGGAATCTTTTGATCTCTAGCTCTTCCCAGAGAATTTAGTGTTTGGGTTTGAGGAGAATGAGGATTGATTCAAAGGTCATGAACAGGGTTTCCAGTGTCTGGCACACACACAAAATATGAAAGCTCCAGTGGAGCCGGTTACCTGCGGCAGGCGAGCTCTAGAAATTGGGAATTTTGGCTTTGCTTGTCATGGGCTCTAACTTTGCCGGAGGGCGAGCATGCTGCATGTGCTGAGGCTGGTTCTTACAATCCACGGTCAAGATTTTTCAACCCCTTTTGTTATATCTGAACTTGCTGGTTTCCCTCTCAAGATAAAACGAAAAGTCTCCTTCGCTTTTGCCTCTTAACTCAGATTTCCTGTAGCACCTCGTATTTCTCCTCCGCCGCTTTCTTCCCAGGGACCCGAACAACAGCGTGAGGAGCAGGAGGAGAGGGGAACCTCGGGACTGGAGCAAACTATGGGGCAAGTAGGGCTGAGGGAAGGAGGAGGCACGATGGGAAAGGCAACATTTGGGACACATCTACCGCTTACAAGACCCCCACCTCCTCCCCATTATAGTTCTTTACAGGACCCCTCTCCCCCCCTCCCCTCCCCGCCCTCTTAGGACCCTATTAGAAAACGTCAAATTTCCCTTACCGTGGTAGGAGTAACCATGGCATCCGTGTGAATGTTTCCAGAAAAGTCGACATGAAGAGAAAGGTGGATGTAAATACGTTCATTCAAAGTCCCAAAGTTGGTCTGCTTGGGTTGTGCAGAGTTGCTCTATGGGAGAGGAGCCTTAAACTCTGAGTCCCGTGAACATAATCTGCTCGATTATAACAAACCAGCTCAGCCAGATGGCTCTGTGCTCCGTGGATTAACCCCTTTATTGCCACACTCTGCTTTCCCTACCTACCATTTATAACAACCTTGCCTGGCTGGGGAAATTCAGAGAATCAGGCATTTTTTTGAAAATGACAAAACCGTCATAAAGGTCATTTTTTCCCCCTGCGTGCTCTTAAAAAAAACCCATCCTGTGCCTATTTTCTTTATTTTTTTAAAATCCAATTGACGGTTTTATTCCTCTTCCTGGCAAAACCCCTTCGTATTATTAAGAACAGTATTAGCACCAGGGAACGTTTTAGAGAATTCTTTTGTTAAATCACCACCATCCCTTCCAGACTGCGATCCTCAGCAGACGAGTATTTTATTGCAGGAATGTCTCTGTGTTTGCACTCTAATGGTCCATCCACTCCCCCCTTCCCGCCCCTCTGTCTCCCACATGCACACACATGCACACACTTTGCTCACACTGCCAGCATGTGCTGCTATTCCTACCCCTGCTCACAAGTCACTATGGGACATGTCAAACAGGTGAAATACGCAGAGCTGCAGTGCCACAAGCTCCTGCTCTCTCCCTCTGACTTCTCTTTGAATTTTTTTTCCCCCTTTTTTCCCCAATTATTTGCAAATCTTTGACAAATTTATTTCTTCGGTCAGCATTTCTGTCTAGGAAGTCACCCGCCATGACACAAAAATAAGTGCAGGGAGAAACACCCACTGTTAAGAACAGACCTTAGGATGGATCTGTGTACAGTTCCTCCTGTTTTGACTCGCAGATTCGTCCATTAAGGGTGGCAAGTGCCAAAAACATGGAAAGTTCATCAGCAACCAGCAGCGACTGGTTCCCAAACTTTTTATTTAGAGAGATTACTCGCTGAGATGGCTGATAAATTTAGCTGCATGCCTCTAAGTCTCCCTCTAAATTTACATGCTTAAGTCATCTTTCTTTTCTGTTTGATTTGAGCATAATTGAGCGTGGTCATATAAGATATGAGGTGACATTTTAAATCATAAGGGTCACCAGATTGTTTCCTTAAAGAATACTTTTACTAGCTCAATAAAATTTCTCTTTTCCTGTTTAACCATGGATTTTTTTTCTTTCCCCTTGCTGTGTGAAGATAATTAGCCCCCTCTTGCTGTCAAAGCTTTGTACCATCTTCTTTAAGACATTTTAATCTACCTGGAGAGTTGTCACAGTTTTATTGAAATATTTACCACCATAGATTGAAATTCAGATGGTGTCATTGGTTGCAGTTGTCCTTTCTCTGAATTTTTTCAAGCATAAAATGGTCCCATTTAGGGGATTCTGCAATTTAAATGGTCCTGCTGAGGGGATTCCACAATTTGTATCTGTCTCATAAGTTCTGCCTGAGTCGCTTGCTGCCCAGATGGAGAACAAAAGTCATCTTCCACCACTGCCTCTAAGAATTCTGTACTAAAACTTGCTGCTCTGCCAATCAAAAAACAAAAACAAAGAAAAACGAACAAAAAACCAAACAAAAATCCTCCAAAAATCCCCAAAACAAAAATTAAAAAAAAATCAAAAACGTAAAAACAACAAACCTCCTCAAAGTTGTATAACTCTAGTTCCATGGTTTTTGTCTCACCCTGTTCCTGAGTGCTATTTTCATCTTTTAGATTTAGAGCTTTTTCAGCTAAAATGAGGAAACTCGAATTAAATCCTGAGCTTTTAGATCTTTCAGACTTAGAGCTTTTTCAGCTAAGATGAGGGAACTCAAATTAAATCCCGTGTGTCCCCCACCCAGTCCAGGCACTGTAGTCAGATCTGAGAAATGCCTAAAATGTGACTCAGCTTTTAATCTCCTGAAGTAGACAAACAGTGCTAGGAATAGAAAACTTTCCTGTGGCTGGTGAAGGAACGTTCCTCTGGAGGTAGGCAAAGGGTTAAGCCTCTGAAGGCAGCCCTAGCCCGGGAACTTCACATTTGCAGCAGGGGGAAAAAAAATAAAAAAGAAAAAAGAAAAGAAAAAAAAAAAAAGAAAAAGAAAAAGAAAAGAAGCAAAAGAAGAAGTCTAGAAGCAAAAGTCCTGGGCAGAGGGGCTGCCTGCCTCTGATGGGAGGCAAACCTCCCAGAGCCTGCACGAGTGGAGGGGTTTTGTCCTGTGTCTGGGTCTGTGGGCAATCAGACGCCTTGTAATTTGAGATGTGACACCTTAATCTCGCCAAATATGTGTGCACTGCAAAATGCATTGTAGACAGCCTGCTTTCACAGCCAGGGAAAATGGAGACGTGTTTGGTCCTTGCCGTTTTCCAACCTTTCCCCTACAGATGTTTCTGTTGTTCTGAAGCTGCTTCTTTCTAGGTATTTCTACATCTTCAGCTCTTATGCTGGGGGTGGGGTGGTTTTTTTCCCTCATGCTAACCCTTAGCATAGGTGGATTTCTTTCACACTTTAAGTAAGTTTCTGAATTTTTAATGAGAAGCAATCCAGCTCCCAAATGGTCACCTTATTTTATCTGTCGGCCTTGAATCTGAGGTTCTGACATGGCAAAAAAAAAAAAGAAAAGAAAAGAAAAAAAAACCTAAAGTATTACTTTGAACAAGTCCCTGCTCTGTCTTGAAGAATCTGAAACATTGCTCAGAGCATGCTGGAGAAAGTCATCTTTGAATTCTGGGGATTTTAATTGGGATAATTACAAGACATTGATCTGATTAATTAGGCACTTGACCAGACTTCAAAACATGTGATATTTTATATACTTTTATGTATACATGTATATTTCTCTACATATTAATAGATACCGCTTTGATTTCGTTTGATGGTAAAAAATTGAATATTTATAGGGAAGATATGCGTGTGAGTATGCAAATGCATGAACATTTTATTTGGTTTAATGCAATGCCTTGGGTCATTCTAAAAGCAGGGAGCATGTTCTATAATGGTTAGGTTTTGCAACAGCACCACTTTGTGGTTGAAATCCCAAACAGATCCCAAAAAGGGACTGTAGGGACACCACATGTGCCTCTGCAAGTCTGAGCAGTTCCCATGGTGGTTGGTTTTAATATCCATTGACAAATGCACTCACCTGGGATGGAAATGTGGTCCTCTCTTTTTAAGGTGGTGGGTTTGAGGTAAAGGCAAGAAAAAAGAAGTGGCAGCAGAAGATTACCTCTGAGCATTTTGAGCAACTGATATCTTCAGTACAGGAGGCTGTTCACCTCACCTTTCAAATGCCAAAACCACTTTTGTTCAAATTTCCAGAATTTTATAAAGGGCCTGACATCTCTATAATTTTTTTAAATTTTACTTGAAATGTGCTGCAAATGTTTTGTTGGAAGTAAAAAGGAATCCAGCTATGTTTTTATTTGGTGGAAATGATAAAAATTATTTATTTAAACATTATTTAAATATTGTTTGTAGAATAGCAATGGTACCATTTCAGAGCTGAAGGAATTTCTGAAACCTCACTTGCACCCAGGCTAGGCAAACGAGAAGTATTAGAAAGAATTTCCAGGCATGATTCACAAAGAACTTCAAACTTGGTTTTGTTACACATTTCTTGGAAAGTTGTCTTCTGCAGCTTTTCCTCTTTATTAGAAATAATTGTGACAACTCGTAACAGTTACCATGGTAGGTCAAAGATGACACAGTGTAAAATGTGTACCCAGAGCTGTAGGCATGCCAGGAGGGAGGATGGGAATAATGCACGGAAATATGCAGGAATTCTGGTCACACCCTGAAAGCCATTATTCTTCAGAGCTTTTCCTAAAAGAAAGGCACTTTACAGAGCCAGCTTTTATGCACTTCACCTTCAAACCAGTTTCCTTGGCAGAGAATTAGCAAAGTGAGATTAAATGAGATTATAATAATAGTATTAATTAAAATAACATCTAGATGCATTAAAATGCACCTAGTAAGTACAACTACAATAATTTTCTTGTGTGAAAGATTTTACACACACGCAGCATTGCAGTCCTCAGACCAAAATTTTAATTGTTTAACAAATATTTTTCATTTCAAAGGAAATGTATTGAGCTGTACTCTTATATCAGAATAAAGCTATATAATAAGTGATATACAAAAGGGGATTTACACTCTCCAATATGTAGCTGTGTTTTGGCAATAGAGTTATGGATGATTACAAATGTCTCCAATGTACTAATGTGTTACATCTCTTATCAGCTTAGCTCATATTTTGGATTTATGTGATATTTGTCTTTTTCTGATGGTATCCTTTTTTTTTATTATTTCAAACATGGTCTTTATTGCAGGAATAATTCAGAAACAAGGTTAGTTGATGATAGGCAACATTTTTGGAAAGAAAAATATATTCCTTGTAATTATCAGCAAACTTTGAACCCCTACTCATTTGTTATAATTCCAAATTAGCTGAAGAGAACTTGCATGACTATCAGTAAGAAAAATGCTAAGAGAAAGAAAATCAAATTAAAACCATATGAAGAAGTTTTCTTCCATTACTTATGCTGGAACTGGGAAAAGGTGCCTGCAGTTTTTAATGGTGGAGGAAGAGGAGATTTGGAGTCACAGCACCATTCTTTTGTGAGGAAGATGAATTCCACACTAGGACACATAAGGAGATACATAAAGTGCTTGGTAAGATGTCAGCTGGGATGCTGGGACTCAGTTCTGATCATGTTCAAATCAGAGAAGACCTGGAAAATGACAGAAGTAATGATTAAATGTGTCATGTAGTTTAAAATATGCTGAAAAACCCCAAGAGACTAAGAAATCAGTCAGGACTCACAAGCCTGTAATTGACCCTGGCCAGGGCAAGGGAAGGTCTAGGTGTTCTCTCTCCCCCCATCTCTCCCATGACTACATGACCTGCACCATCACAGAAAGCAAATATGTCCAGGAACATCTTGTACTCTGGACTCTGGCAGAGCTTTTGAAGAAAACTTCTCAGTGAAAGCCTTCAGAAAATTTCCACTACACATTCATATGACTTGGTTTGGGACACTAAATATCTATCATGAGGAAATTTTCCCACAGGGAGCTAAACCACAGTACT